TTTCTTTCTTTCTTTCTTTCTTTCTTTCTTTCTTTCTTTCTTTCTTTCTTTCTTTCTTTCTTTCTTTCTTTCTTTCTTCCCTTTCTTTCTGTCTATCTGTCTTTCTTTCTTTCACATCCTGGTTGAAGTTCCCCCTCCCTCCTCTCCTCCCAGTCCCTCCCCCAACCCTCCTCTGTCCCCACCCCATAATCTACTCCTCCTCTGTTTCTGTTCAGGAAAGGGCAGGTACCCCATGACCATCAACAAAACATGGCATATCAAGTTGCAGTAAGACTAAGCACCTCCCCATGTATTAAGGCTGGGCAAGGTGATCCAGTATGGGGAGTAGAGTCCCAAAAGCCAGTAAAAGTCAGAGACAGGCCCTGTTCCCACTGATAGGAGTTCCACGAGAGGGCCAAGCTACACAACTGTAACACATATGCAGAGGGCCTAGGTCAGTCCCATGCAGGCTCCCTGGCTGTCAGTTCAGTCTCTGTGAGCAACTGTGAGCTCAGGTTGGTTCTATGTGTTTTCTTATGTGTCCTTGACCCATCTGGCTCCTACAATTGACAAGGGACGGTTTTTTTTTTTTGTGTGTGTGTTATGCTGAGGGATGATTACTTTAACCTGAGAATTCCTTCTAGAAACAGAAGGCTTCCTATGGCTTTAACGCCAGCTCTTAGATTTTTCAAGTTTTGTGGGAGAGAAGATAACAGAGTGAAGGAACAATGGGGTCAGGAAAACAGTAGGATAGAGAGGGAAACAGAGAGAAGGTTCACCAGCCAGGAGCACTGGCTGCTCTTCCGGAAGATCCGAGTTTGGTTCCCAGCACCCACATGGCAGTTCACAACCATTAACTCCAGTTCCAGGGGACCTGCTGCCTTCTTCTGACATGCATGCTGCACACAGACATATATGCACGCAAACACTCATAGACATAAAATAAAACTAAAGAAATCTTTACAAGGAGAACAGCAAAAGCTACCATCTCAATGAGAAGTAACCCAGGGAAAAGACAAAATTCCAGCAGCTAGAAATGGAAGGACCCATCAAGTGCATACATAGGTATGGATATTAGGGATACCACGGTGAATGGAAGACCATTGGGCCAACAAGATGGTTGGAAGGCCAAGGCTCTGGCTGCCAAACTCGATGAGCTGAGTTAGATTCTGGGACCGGCATAGTGTTGGGAGAGAACTGACTCTTGCAAGTTGTCCTCTGACCTCCACCTGTGTGCATGCACACACATATGCATGGATGTACACATACACAGAAATAATTTAAAAAGGAGATCATTTGGAAAAGAATCACAGAAGTGTCAATTAAAACAATAAAGTGCCATTTGCTGTTCAACAGGTTGGCAAAACCCATAACTAGAGTCAGTCGAGAATTTCAAGTCCTGGGACCTTTGCTCGGCATTGCCGATAGGACTGGAAATGGGTATAGCCAGGTACAAAGCCTGGCGGACCAAAGATGAGCCTTCTTCAACTCTGGAAATCTGCTCCTAAAACGTCCATTTAAAACATGCATGTGTGAATCACTGTGCATGTACATTCACACACACACACACACACACACACACACACACACACACACACACATCACTGAAAATAAACTGTTGTTCAGAAAAGGAAGCCCTGCAGATGGCACCGTCTATGTAAAACGTAAGGTCATCAAAACGTGTGCCATCCTGCTTGAGGATGTAAATGTGTAGTAATACTGCCATGGAGTTAAAAAAGGCCAGCCTGTTCAGTTCCACTCAAGAGAGTTGATATGAGCAGAGAGGAGAGAAGATAGTAATGATAATGTTCTGTTTCGTTCATTGGATGGTGGACACACAGAGCTCACTGTAATGATATAGTCTAGGGTATTAGGTATAAGTACATACATGTCTTAGAGTTTCTATTGCTGTGAAGAGACACCAAGACCATGGCAACTCTTACAAAGGAAAACATTTAACTGGGGCTGGCTTACAGTTCAGCGTTTAGTTCACTGTCATTATGGTGGGAAGAGTGGCAGCATGCAGGCAGATGCATGCTGGAGAAGGAGCTGAGAGTTCTCCATCTTGATCAGCAGGCATCAGGAAAAGAACTGGCTTGAGCTTCTGAGACCTCAAAGCCCATCCCCTAGAGACATACCTCTTCCAACTAAGCCACACCTATTACAACAAGGCCACACTTCCCAACAGTACCACTCCCTATGGGCCTATGGGGTCCCTTTTATTCAAACCACCACAATACCCTTGAAAGATTTATTTTTTAACTTATGCATATGTGTCTGCATGGGGGTATGTGCTCACGAGTGCAGGTGACCACACAGTCCAGAAAAGGGCATTGGATCCCCTGGAGATGGAGTTAAAGGCTGTTTTGAGTATGGGTAGCTGGGGGCTGATCTTGGGTCTTCTGCTAGAGTAGCAAGTGCTGCTAATTGCTGAGCCCTAATCCTATGTAGGTTTCTATTACTTTGAGATAATTCTATGACCAAAAGCAACTTGGGGAGGGAAGGGCTTATTTCACCTTATAACCTACAACTCATCATCCAGGCAAGTCAGGGCAGGAACTCAAAGCCGTAGCCATGGAGGAATGTTGCTTACTGGCTTGCTCTCCATGGCTTGCTCAGTCTGCTTTCTTACAGATCTCCAGGACCACCTGCTCAGGGATGAGCATAGCAGAATGGGTCCACTCACGTCAATCATTAATCAAGAAAAGGCCCTAGAGAATTGCCTATGGGTCAATCTGATGAAGGCATTTTCTCAGTTAAGATCCCCTCTTCTCAGAGATGTCTAGGTTTGTGTTTGTCAAGCTGATGAAACCAACCAGCACAGCCATCTCTCCAGGATAATTATGTATCTTGTGTTCCCTCCATCACCATGGATGCTCATCTACAAATCCATACAGTCACACCAACCGTAAGACTTACACATGCCAAATACATGTACATTCTCCCATTATGGTGAAGTGTTTTCTCATGGAAGCCCCGGAGCTACCAAATGACAAGGACGGGAAGAGAATTTAAACTTACGCCAGTTCCCCGAGGTGACTCGTGGACAGGTGATTCACCCCAAAAATTCCTAGGAAATTCTCTCTCAGTAGCAGGGTCTTCAGTTGTGTGTTCCTTTCAAGATCACCAACAAGATCAACCCAGTTTTTAGGGGTGGCCTCACAGTGCTCCAACCTAGAGATGTCACACATAGATAGCAAGCCTTACTCCTAGAGTGCATGGTACCCTCAAAGACCTCCCCACTCTATCCATATCCTTCTTCTTCTTCCAAGGAGGATAACTCTAGGAGTTATCTCTAGCTTCTTAGCCATAAACTCAAGGAGCCTCCAACCAGCCAAGCTGCCAGAAGAGAGCTCTCTAACGTGTTAAGTTCCCTGGGAATTGTGCAGCGAGATCCAAGGAGCCGGCTTTTGGGAGTCATCACCCATGCATGCTAGGGTGGGCTCTCAGTGGCGCCACTGGTTTTGAGCTGTCTATGCTCCTGTAGGTGGGCTCCTCACTTGGGCAACTGTAAGTAACTCCCAATAAACTCATTGGTTTACTAAGCTGCACTTGGATGATATCATTATTTTGGTTTATTGTCAGTTCCCCGTTATTTCCAGCATCCTCCTAGCCGGTGGGGGGTGGAGTTGGGGGTGGGGCGGGATTCTACGGCCATGCCTGCACTGTCAGTAGTCAGGCAGAATGCCTAGTCACCCTAGGGCCCTGCATCTTATGTAATCTATGAGAAGCGCGGCCACTGATCTATGCACATGCGTGGCGTGGCTACATAAGCCCCTATACGCATGCGCGAGGTATCCTCACTAGCGGTTTCCACACGTTCTCCTCGCCCACCCCCATTTCCGCCCCACGTCTCTGTGGCAGGTCTGCTCACTTCCCCCCTTTCACTATCCCCTTAGTAAAACTCTTAAAGTGGATTTCGTTGCATACCCGTGGTCCATTCTCACCACTGGTAAATACACCATTCGCTATCTGGGGTGAGCGGACATTGGGTCATTTCTCCCCAGGATTAGTGTCCCGTAGCGGTGAGGCAATGGAGGGAATGTGCCGAAAGCATATTCTATGCTATGTGGAAATGTCCTTGGAATCCAGCACCGTGATTAAATACGTGCTAGTAAGAACTTAGAAACTGGAGGCTGGAGAGCTGACACGGTGGTTAAGAGCGCTGGCTGCTCTTGCAGAGGACCTGGGTTCAATTCCCAGCAACCACATGGCAGCTCACAACCGTCTGTAACTGCAGTTCCAGGATCTGATGCCCTCTTCTGGCCCATAAGGGCACTGCCGGCGTGTGGTACCCATCCATATATGGAGATAAAACATTCATACACATAAAATAAACACATCTAAACATTTTTTTTAAAGAAGGAAAAAAAACTAAAAAATATACCAAAATAAAAATAATGAGCTACGGAGCTAACACTTGACCTAGCAATCCCATTTCCGGGCTTTATGCAAGGTAAATGTATCAGATTATACTGTTAAAGTTAAATAAGATTCACAGTAGCTGGGCACAAGGGAAGCCAGGCTGCCACAGAGCACCTGACCATTCATTCCGCAGACAACACCCATCTAAGTGATATCGCTACTTCCAGCCTCTGCCTTTACCTTACACCCTGCAGAAGACACTGGGGGGAGGGGGGCGGGGATTCCAGCACCACACGTAGGGATTTCATGGCCTCCTCTCCCAGGTTTGTGTGTCCTGCTCCCAGCTGTCTCAGAATGCTGGTTTTCAGTCCAAACATGGAATAAGTCTCCGTGCAATAGACGACTCACACGCCTCAAAGTGAGGACGGAGCAGCATCCCGCTACCGAGGGACTCCAGGGTCTTCCGTGTGCGTGTATGTGAGGTCGGCATGGATGCCCTCCTCACTTACGCTCCACCTTATTTTTATGAAGATTTTCTTTTCGTTCGTGTATGAATGTGTGTGTGTGTGTGTGTGTGTGTGTGTGTGTGTGTGTGTGTGTATGGGCACGCACACCAAGTGTTCACAAATTCCCAAGGAGGCCATAAGGGAGCATCAGGTTCCCGGTGCAGCTAGAGTTCCTGGCCGTTGTGGGTCCTAAGAACTGAACTTCAGTCCTCTGTAAGAGCAGCAAGCACTCTTATCTGCTTCTCTCTCCAGCCCTTCTAACTTTTCTTTTTTTTGGGATGGCATCTTTCACCGAACCTAGAGTCCACCAGTTCGTGTAGACAGACTGGCCATCAGGCTCCAAGGATCTCTAGGATTACATGCACATTCCTTATTTTTAACACACGAGTGCCAGGGATTTGAACTCAGGTCTCCATACTTTCCATGACAGGCAAACCACAGACAGATTTCTCTCCCCAGTCCCTACCGTTACCATTTCTGTGGTCTACTTGTTGGGATTGGAATTTGAAATGTCCTCTGTAGGTTTGTGTGTGAAATGTCCCACTCGGTCTGTGGTTGCTGATGCCATTTGGGAAGGTTATGGAACCTTTAGGTGGTAGAGCCTCACTGGGGGCAGGTTTTAAGGTTTCATACCTCAGGTCCATTTCTCGTTCTGAGCTGTGTGTGTGTGTGTGTGTGTGTGTGTGTGTGTGTGTGTGTGGTGCCACTGTACCTTTCCTGCATGTTGCCAAGTCTTCCCCAGTATGATGGGCTCCATCTTTCCGGAACTGTGAACTAGAAAAAACCCTTTCTCCCTTCAGTGGCTCTTGGTCAGTGTATTTTGTCATAGCTACAGAAAAGTAAGTAAATATGGAACACGGCACTCACTGTAGTCGTTGCAGCTTACACTGGGGCTTCTTCAGGGTGGTGGCGAGTATCTGCATCACTGGGGCCTTCATGACGCTGTTAGACACAGTCAGCATTTCCAAATTGTCACTTGTTTCAAACACAGAGCAGACATCTTGCAACCAGTCGAAAAGAATCTCATCCTCTTTCACGCTAAGTGAAGGAAGAAAAAAAAAAGAATAGGGGCCCAAGATTGACATTCAACTTAAGGAAAATTTGAGTTTGAAGTTGAAGAAGTGGCCTGGGAACCTGCAGGCCTCTCCAGCCATGGAAGCAGGTGGGCTAACTGCAGATCTTCAGCTCCCCTTCTGCACCTCCAAAACCAGCTCCCAAGTCTTACCCACAGCCCTGTATCAGACACCCGCACTGGGTAGCATGCATCCTAATTGGTCTTATTAATAAAACAATCCAGAGTGACATATCAGGGTGAAAGCTGAAAGATCAGAGAAGTAGAGCAGCCAGCCACTAGTTCTCACCTGTACAAAATCCTCAACAGAAAGGGAGTGAGCTCCAGTCTCCTCCCCACCTTATAGTCCTCTCTCTGCCCAGCCTTATAACTTCCTGTCTCCACCTCCCCAGTGCCGGGATTAAAGGTGTGTGCCATCACCGTCTGGCTCTGTTTCTCTTTTAGACTAGATCAATCTCATGTAGCCCAGGGTGGCCTTGAACTCACAGAGTGCTGGGATTAAAGATGTGTGCCACTACTGCCTGGCATCAGTGGCTAACTAGTGGTTTAGCTCCACACTCTGATCTTCAGGCAAGCTTTATTTATTAGAGCACAAACAAAATATCACCACACTTGCCATCCTCCCAACTCCCGATTCTGTGTACGGAACAGAGCTTCCTCCAAACTTCCTTCTCCCCTTCATTGCTTTATCCCAGCCTCCAACTCCAAGAGGCATTCTCAGGGAACCCACAGGCCATTCTGGCCATGCCAGTAGGCTAACTGAAAAATCTTCACCTCTCTCTCCATTCCTCCAAGTTCAATCTCCTAGTCTTATCCCCAGCCCTGTAGCAGACCTTCCGCCTCGACCTCGCCTTACTCTCTGAGTCCACTTCCAGGGGACTAAGCAGATTCTGGTGTTAACACTTGCTTTCTGTAGACCCTCTCACGCTCGCCTTCCTTCCCTAACCCCATTCCTAACTGTCAGCCCCCAATACCTAGAAATATAGTCTACCCGGGCCCCCTAGTGGCCCCTAGTGGCCACTAATATCCCAGGAGAATTTCCAACACACATGCCACCATAGCCTCCTAAGAAACAGAGAGGGCAACAGAAACCAAGAAACGAAAACACCCACCCAGCAAAGACAAGAGTAGATATCGGCACCTAGAATAACAATCTTCAAAACCCAGATGCCTGGACGCCAGCATAAAATCACAACCAGTAGCACCCAAGACGTAGCAAAGTACATCTTTACTAGAGCCCAGCAGTGACACCACAGCAGGCCCTGAGTATGCTAATGTAGCCAAAGAACAAGCGAAAGACCGTAAAACAGCCGGTCTGAAGATGATAGAGCTCCTTAAAGAGGAAATGAATAAATCCCTTAAAGAAGGAAGGAAATGAATAAAAGAGTTCAAGGCCTGAAAATAGAATCAATCAAAAACCAAACTGAGGAAAATCTACAATGAAAAATGTAGGAACTAAAACAGGAACCTCAGCAGCAAGCTTCACCTACAGAATACAAGAGATGGAAGAGAGAATCTCAGGCGTTGAAGATACGATTGAAGAAATGAATACATCAGTCAAAAGATGCTAAATCTAAAATAAATCCTGGCACAAGGCATTCAGGAAATCTGGGACACTATGAAAAGAAAAATCTATGAGTAATAGGGATAGAAGAAAGAGAAGAAACCCAATCAAAGACAAAGAAAGTATTATCCAAAAAGTCATAGAAGAAAAATTTCCATATCAAAAGAAAAAGATGCCTATCAAGGTGCAAGAAACATATAGAACACAGAATAGACCATACTAGAAAAGAAAGTCCCTTCGGAACATAATGGAGAAAATAAGATATTCCATGAGAAAATTAAATTTAAGCAATATCTATCTACAAATCCAGACCTATAGGAGATGCCAGAAGGAAAACTCCAACCTAAAGAGGTTAACTACACCCAAAAAAACACAAGGAATAAATAGTCCCAGGCCAACAAATCAAAAGAAGGGAAACACACACACACACACACACACACACACACACACACACACACACACACCCCAAAATAAAAACAAGAATCAACAACCATTGCTCATTGTTATCTCTTAACATCTCAATTATCTAACAAAAAGACACAGACTAACAGAATGGGTTAAGAAACATTACCCCTCCTTCTGCTGCAGCCAAGAAACACACTTTAACATCAAGGACAGACACCTCCTCAGGGTAAAAGGATGGAAAAAGACATTCCAACAAATGGACCTAAGAAGCAAGCTGGTAGCTAGATGCATGCCTTTGATATCAGCACTTGGGAGGCAGAGGCAGGTGGATCTTTGTGAGTTCTAAGCCAGCCTGCCAGCCCAGTCTACAGAGGGTCAGGACAGTAAGAACTACACAGGGAAACGCTGTCTCAAAAAACTGAAGAAGGAGGAGGAGGAGGAGGAGGAGGAGGAGAAGAAGAAAGCTGGTGTAGCCATTTTAATAGCTGACAAAATAGACTTCAAAACAAAATTAATCAGAAGAAATAGGGAAGTACAGTATATACCCATCAAATGAAACATCCACCAAGAGGACATTGCAGGTCTTAACATCTATGCTCCAAACACAAGGGCACCACCCTACACACACACTGTTTTTTTTTTTTCATAAAAGAAACACTACTACAGCTTAAATCATATATTGACTCTTACACACTGATAGTGGGAGACTTCAATACCACACACTCTCCAATAGACAGATCATACAGACAAAAATCCAAACAGAGAAATGTTGGAGCTAACAGACCTTTTAAACCAAGTGGACCTAACATACTGACAGAACATTTCACCCAAATTTCACACATACAAAAAATATGTTCTCCTCAGCACCTCATGGTACTTTCTCTAAAATTGACTATATACTTAATCACAAAACAAATCTCATCAGATACAAGAAAACTGAAATAACCCCTTGCATCCTATCAGACCACCATGGATTAAGGTTTTATGGCAACATCAGAAACAACAGAAAGCCTATAAACTTATGGAAACTGAATAACTCACTAATGAATGAAAAATTGATCAAACATTAATGAAGAAATAAATGAAAGACTTCCTAGAATTGAATGAAAATGAACACAACACACCCACATTTGTGGGACACAATGAAGGCAGTTCTGAGAGGCACGTTCATAGGAAAAGTACCTACATTAAAAAAATGGAGCAATCTCAGATCTCATATTAGTAACTTAACAGCACATCTGAAAGCTCTAGAACAAAAGGAAGAAACCACACCCCAAAGGAATGGACTGAAAAAATCATCAAAGTCAGGGCTGAAATCAATAAAATAGAAACAACAACAACAAAACTGAATAAAAAGAATCAATGAAACAGAGTTGGTTATTTGATTAAAATTGGTAAGATTGACAAATCTCGGGTGGTCATGGTGCATGCCTTTAATCCCAGCACTTGGGAGGCACAGCCAGGCAGGACTCTGTGAGTTTGAGGCCAGCCTGGTCTATAGAGCGAGATCCAGGACAGGAACCAAAACTACACAGAGAAACTTTGTCTCGAAAAACCAACCCCCCCCTCAAAAAAGACTGACAAATCTTAATCCAAATTAACTAAAAGGTAGTGAAAGAATATTCAAGTTAACAAAATTAGTCATGAAAAGGGAGACATAACAACAGACACCGAGGAAATCCACAGGCTCATATGGACATATTTTAAAAAAACTGTTAGCCACCAAATGGGAAAATCTAAAAGAAATGTATAATTTTTCAATACATACAACTTACAAAAGTTAAATCAAGATCAGATAAACAATTTAAATAGACCTATAACCCCTAGTGAAATAGAAACAGTCACTAATTATCCCAAATAAAATAAACCCAGGGCTGGATGGTTTCAGCACAGAATTCTACCAGAATTTCAAAGAAGAGTTAATGCCAATACTCGTAAAATTATTAAACAAAATAGAAATAGAAGAAACATTGCCAAATTCATTTTATGAGGTCACAGTTATCCTGATACCCAAACCAATTAAAGACATAACAAAGAGAATTATCGACCAATTTTCCTTATGAGCATAGATGCAAAAATACTCAATAAACTACTTGAAAACCGAATCCAAGAATACATTAAAAATGTCATTCACCATGATCAAGTAGGCTTCATCTCAGAGATGCAGGGATGGTTCAACATACAAAAATCAGTCAATGTAATACACCATATAAACAAACTGAAAGAAAAAAACCCACATAATCATCTCATTAGGTATGGAAAAGCCTTTGACAAAACCCAACACCCCTTCATGATAAAGGTCTTGGAGCGATCAGGAATACAGGGAACATACCTAAACATAATAAAGGCAAGTTACAGCAGGCTGACTGCCAACATCAAATTAAATGGAGAGAAACTCAAAGCCATTCCACTAAAATCAGGAACAAGACAAGGCTGTCCCCTCTCTCCATGCCTATTCAATAGAGTACCTGAAATATTAGCTAGATCAATTAAGACAACTGAAAGAGATCAAGAGGATACAAATTGGAAAGGAAGAAGTCAAAGTATCTTTATTTGCAGATGATATGATAGTATACATCCTAAAAATTCCAGTGATCCTAAAATTTCCAGCAGGGAACTCCTATAACTGATAAACATTTTCAGCTAAGTAGCCTGATACAAAATGAACTCACATAAGCCCTCTGACATACAAATGAAACACTGACTGAGAAAGAAATCAGGGGAACAACTTTCACATTAGCCTCAAACACTATAAATATTTGGTGGTAACTCTAACCAAGAAAGCAAAAGATCTATATGGTAAAAACTTTAAAGCACCAAGGAAAGAAATCGAAAAAGATATCAGAAGATGGAAATATCTTCCATGTTCCTGGATTGGTAGGATTAACATAGTAAAAATGGCTATCTTACCAAATGCAATCCCCATCAAAATCTCAACCTAATTCCTTACTGAACTTTAAAGGACAATTTTCAGCTTCATATGGAAACACACACACACACACACACACACACACACACACACACACACACACAGACACACACACAACCCAGGATAGCTAAGACAATCCTGGATAATAAAAATACTGCAGGAGGTACCACTATCTCCAATTTCAAATTGTACAGCATGGTATTAATACAATACTGCCACAGTAGTCAAAAGAATCCAGTTGAAGCTCCAGACATAAATCCACACCTATGGACATCTGAGTTTTTATAAAGAAATCAGAAATACACAATGAAAAAAAATGGAGATGGATCTCATACCTGACATTGCCTGGGTGACCAAGAACTAGAGACTAGATAGCCCAGAGATCTAGGGTAAAACCAAATAATACTAGTCTAAAGCAAAAAATGTAGCAATAATAAGAGATTTTCTATTCATTTTACATGCCAACCACAGATTCCCCTCCTCCTGCACCTCAGTATTTCCCCCTAACCCACCTCCCATTCCCACCTCCTCCAAGGCAAGGTCTCCCATGGGGAGTCAGCAGAGCCTGGTACATTCAGCTGAGGCTTCAAACATATGAAAGGAAAAAAAAGATGTGAAATTCCCAAAGAATAAAGAATTATGTTTTAAAAAATAATAAAATAAATTGGTACTGTCAAAAAAATGTAGCAATAAAATGACTCCTAACGTCATTCTGCTAATACTCATAGATCAGTGCCTTGCTCAGCCATCATCAATCAGAGAAACTTCCTCCTGCAGCACATGGGAACAATTACGGAGACCTACAGCCAGGCAATATGCAGAGAGTGAGACACCTAGGAACACTCAGCCCTGAATGGGGCATCTATCAAATTCCTCCCCTCAAGGATCAGGGAACCCTTTGGAAGAGGAGGCGGAAAGAGTGTAAGACCCAGAGAGAATGGAGGACACCAGGAAAACAAGCTCCTCTAAGTCAACGTGCTCAAAGCTCATATGAACTCACAGAGCAGCATGGAAAAAAAAAATCTATTTTCCATAAAAGGAAAAAGAAAAAAAAACATGGAAAAACATTTGAGGAAAAACCGCCTAAGTGGCTGGAAAGAGTGGTTCAGAGGACTTGCTGCTCTCATAAAGGACCAAGGTCCGCTTCCCACCTGTTGGCTTACAACCAACTGTAACCTCAGTTCCAGAGGATCCAGTGCCCTCTTTTGGCCTCCGAGGGTACCAGGCACACACGTGGTGCCCAGACATACACCGAGGCATTTATTGTATGTATCAAATGAAACCTAAACAAAACAAAATAATAACAACAAAATGAAAACACAATTGCTCCCTTCATTCCCTGGAGGTGAGAACCCTACGGAGAGAAGGCTACTGCCCAAGTCTAAACACTCACTGAATGCTAGAGGCAAGATCTGCTGAGCTGGGCCCCAGTTCCTTGTAAAAGTCTCTTGAGAGAGTCAGTTCTACTTTCTTCAAATCTGGACAGTGCTTAAGGCAAAAAGCAGATGCCTCGAGGTCTTCTTGGCTCTTGATTTTCAAAGAAACTTTTTGATAACCCACCAGTGAACTGAGTGCAAAGTTCTCCTCCCTGGTTTCGGCCAGACAGTGGAAGAGCTGTGAGATCTCACAGCATGGATTGTTACTCAATTTGTTTATCACTTTTACGGCCTTTAATTTGTTACTGGAGAATAACTCACACTTGAAGGATCTCAACACAATCTCAGCACACTCCTCATTTAAAAGACCAAAAAAGAAAAGCCCCATCTGAGAATCGTAGGTTTCGCTTTCTCTTGACAATTTGATCAGATCCTGGATGTCTTTGCGGCTCACCCAGTGATAGTCTATGTCTCTTTCAGCATAACAGAGAATGTGAAACAAGGCACCAAAAAATTCCTGGAAGATAAACAGGGCAAACATGTAATGGTCCCCTTGGCCTTCTAGCTTTCGAAGAATGTTCACTTGAAGAAAAGCGTCTATGGTGGTCTCCGCCACCATGACATACTGAAATTCTGTCTTATCAAACACATTCTTCAGGGACCATATACCATGGGCAGCCAGATGGCACACACCTTCCAGTTGCTTTTGGTAATCGCTGCTGGAAAGTTTCTTAAATATTGTACTGAACAGGGTTGCCAGATACAAGACAAACACAGATGTGGCATTTGGGCAAGCCTTTGTGAGATCTACTGTCTCTTCCATTTGTGTCCTTAGACAATAACATACCAGCCAGCATATCACAGGGACCCGACACATGGACAAGAGGATGGCGTTTTTCATGGCAAAATCCACAGCTTCATCGCCCATCACTTCCCTTTTGAAGTACAGCCTAAAATAGTTGAGTGTTTCAGTCCTATTAAATCCTGTCAGGGTGACATGGGAGGGATTTCTGACTAAGAGTTTAACTCCTTTCCAGGAGGTCGGCCTCACCATGATCAGGAGCGTGGCTTCTGGAAGCATCCTTTTGCTCAGCAAACTGCTCAGGAGAAGAGTCCCAGGCAGCTTCTGGTTCCAGTCTTTTGTCAGACCAGCTGTCCCTGTGATGAGGGAAGATGTGAATTCCTCAAAGCCATCAAATAGGAGCAGAAGCTGATCTGGTCTGGATAAAATCTTCGACACAAGAGCCTGAGACCTAAGCCCTTGGCTCTCGATCCACTCAGAGAAACTGCGCTCTCCCACCCTGCTCAGCTCTCGGCAGTGGCAATAGAAAGCATACTTGAATTTGTGTGCGTAGAACTCATCGCGTGCCCACATCGCCATGACCTTTCTGGCCAGGGTTGTTTTTCCAATACCAGGAATTCCATGGATGATCACAGTATTAGGCTGTCTCATGTGGGGACTCCTGGGTAGAAAGAGACATGGCAAGACAGCGTTGTGTTTTTCTATCTCCATGTACAAGAAATCTTCTTGGTTTCCAGGCCAGATGGTTTTGTCCCATTCAGGGAAATTATCTTTCATCACGTGTTGTCTGTACGCCTGTATTTGATCTAGAGCCACGAAGAAACACAGAGAACACCTTCAGACTTTTTCCGAGAACCGGTTTAAAAAAAACAACAACAACACAGCTACCTAAATCTAATCTTCACAAGACATTTGCATTTCCTTTGGAAGCCATCTTCCTGCTCTCAAGCCCTCGAAGCAGATTATAAGTCACACAATATGGGGACACAGCCACATGGCTATTCATGACAGTGTTGTTCACAACAGTTACATTATGGAACTACCCAAGCTAGGGTCTAGCTACAGCAGCCATCTTAATCCATTCTTCCATCCCTCGGTGTCTAGAGATATCAGAAAAAGGACTGTAAGGGAAACCAAACAAATTACGCTAATGTGTAACAGACTCTCTCAAACAGTACAAGGAAATGGACCCAGAGAGAACTAAGTGTCAGAGGAAAGCATCCTGCCTTACAGATGTAGTCAGACTTCCACTGTCTGTGGCTTCTGCAACATGTACCCAACCAGCTATCTGCTGGAAATACCTTTAAAGGTTGCCTTTGTGCTGAACGTGTATCTACTTAAAAAAAATCACCATTCCCCAGACAATTCAATCTAATGGTGACTTTCAAGTCTGGCAAGCGGCTCAGCAGGGGAAAGTTTCATCCTGCCAAGTCTGATGACCTGAGTTTGATTCCCCAGGAGAGAGCTGACGCCAGCAAACTGTCTTCTAACATCCATATGCATACTGTAGCATGTTTATGAGCGTGTGCGTGTGCGTGTGCGTGTGCGTGTGTGTGTGTGTGTGTGTGTGTGTGTGTGTGTGTGAAAATCCACAGCTTGATTGCTCATCATTTTGCTTCTGGAATACAACTTGAAATAGTTGAGTGTTTCAATCCTATTAAATCCCCCCCACCCCAATATAAATAAAAGAAAAACCTAATTACTTGCTTATAGAATTTACATTATATTAGGTACCAAATGGGACATCTAAAGCACATTCCCTTCCTCCAAGGCTCATAGATCATTGAGGAAGATGAGGCAGAAAGATTGTAAGAGCCAGAGGTAGTGAATGTCTGTCATGTTAAAGTGTTTTCTGGATCCATCAGGGCCTTTGTACTACTCATGAACTCACAAGAGACTGTGACTGCATGCATAGGGCCTGTACAAGTTCAAGCCCGTCAAAACCTCAGCAGGGAAGAGGGAGGGGCTCATAAAAAGCCCATCCCTAGCTGAGAAGCTATTAGCAACTGCTGGCTGCGGGCGGCTGTGGGAGGAGTCAGCTTTCTTCAGGTGTGGCCCCTGAGAGGCTGCCTATACTCCAGTAGATGGCGCTACAGCAATGCACGTATCAGAAGCGCGAAGGGTACCCAGTGAGTTTAAAGAAGGAGCACATGAGGTTAGGAGAGAAAAGGGACATGGGTTTTAGGGAGGACTGGAGGAGAGTGAATGGAAGTAGATTTGATCAAAACATACTGCGTGCATGCATGCAGTTCTCAAGCCACGAGAAAAGAAACAATTTGCTGATGATTTGAAGTGGGAGGGAGGGATGTGTGTAAGTTAAGTGCAAATACTGCGTCACTGCATAAAAGACTCAAGCATCCATGCGTTTTGATGGGGATAACTACGCACTACTTTTTCTTAACTAATTGCAGTTTTTTTTTTAAATCAGCTAATATGACGTTTGTCGTTCATTTGCTGGAAAACATACTCTCAAGCTGGTGCTCTTTAAATTAGCTGGGGCTAATACTCTGCAAGGGAGAGGCTGCTCAAAGCCAGGTTCTAGAAAAGGCTGGCCCATCAGAGAGCATCTTTGATGATGTTTTCGGATCTCCTGTATCCAGGCAGGTTGGGGTTGGGCTTCCTGTGGTCACATGAATCCACAAACACTATTTTTGTCTGTGTTTTGATGAGTAGAAGAGACGCCACCCACCTTTATGTACAGTCTACATTGATGAGGCAACCAAGCTTGTTTCAACCCATACCCCATTTTTACTAGGACTGGCACAGCTACCAGCACATACCACAGTCTTCGCTTGTCAGACTCAGGGGTGCTTTTCTTAGATTTAGATGGAAGTACGTCAGTTCCAAGGTAGGAAGGATGTCTGCAACAGATGGAAAAAATGACTATCCCATCAGAATGAACTTCCACAACAGGGTCTAATGGGCATTATACTGGTCTAATGGGCAATATAAATTGGCAGGTATGATTTAAGGTGACTGAGAAACTGAGTCTCAGAGTGGGGTCCCCATCTCTACACTTCAGACCCAAGCATATATATGTCAAGTGCTCTCCAGGACCCTTATTTTTTTCTGGGGGGGAAGGATTTTTTACTCTAGCTCCATGACAGGAGATAATAAAACAGCTCAAGAATACAAACACTATGTCCTTGAGAAGAGCTGGAAGGTGAATCATCTCCAACAGAGGTTTATTGTTTATCCCAAAATATAAAAGTGTCTACAGTGGGAAATAGAAGCCTGGAATTCTGCCATGGGAAACTCATGGAGAAAAAGCACCATAATGAACTCTGGCTAACTGCCTCAACTTCTCCAGCAGTTTTCTGCTGGATGTTAAAAGCTCCTGATTAGATGACATTATCTTTATCTATTGTTATTTTTTTCTTTTGCTTGGAAGCCTCACCCAAGGGGGTTCTCTACTCTGCCAGGGACTTGTTCTCTGTCTGGAAGTCCAACTATCTGCCTTTTCATTCATTTATATTTCATAAGCACTTTTTATACAATCTAAAGGTAGTTTTAAAAAATGAGAGAGAGAGAGAGAGAGAGAGAGAGAGAGAGAGAGAGAGAGAGAGAGAGAGAGAGATGGGTAAGCGTCACAGCACAAATGTGGAAGCCAGAGGACAACCTCTTGAGACTCAGGGTTCTCTCTTCTGTGGTGATATTGTGTGTATGATCTAACAAATAAAGCTTGCCTGAAGATCAGAGGGCAAAGCCAGCCACTATTTAGTCATAGAGGCCAGGCAGCAGGCAGTGGTGGCACACACCTTTAATCCCAGCCAGCACTAGGGAGGTTAAGACGGGAAGTGATATGGCTGGGCAGAGAAAGGAACATAAGGTGGGAGGAGACAGGAGCTCAGAGTCACTTTTGGCTGAGGATTTCATAGAGGTAAAAACTAGTGGCTGGCTGCTCTGCTTCTCTGATCTTTCAGCTTTCACCTTGATATCTGACTCTGGGTTTTTATTAATTAGACCAACTAGGATTCATGCAACACTCCTCTGTGTGATTTTTGCGGCAGGGTCTTGCTCTGTATTTCTGTATCCGTGCTGTATGCTCCAGGCTAGCTGGCTCAGAAGTTATTGGCTAATTCTCCTATCTCTGTCTCCCAAATTGCTGTAAGAACACTGGGATTTCAGGTTTTGTAAATCTGAAATTCAGCTTTTATAAAAATGTGAGTTCTAGAGGTCAAACTCAAATTGTCAGTCTCACACTGCAAGTGCATTTACCACTCCCACAACTACTGCCTAGCCCTGAAGATAGTTTTATACAATATTTTTAGTGTCTCTTGAACCAATTCCCAGCCTGGAAGATAGTTTTATACAATATTTTTAGTGTCTCTTGAACCAATTCCCAGCCTGGAAGATAGTTTTATACAGTTTTTTCAGTGTGCCTGTATTTTATCTACAACCTATCACATGAGTTCAGAAGTAGAATTTTCCACTTGTGACATCATGTTGGTGGCCCAAATGTTTCATAGTCTCAAGAGTCTCGTGCAGGTTGTTGTATGAATACACACACTCTGGCCAGTGGGAGGGCTTGTGGATAAAGGTGCCTACATGATGAGAACAGAGTGCTGACCCCTGAGGGTTGTCCTTTGACTACCTATGTAGGTGATGGCATGTGTTCACTCCCACCCCCACATAAAATAGAAAGTGTAATAAAATAACCCAAACACACATGCATACATCCATATACGTGCAACATATGCACATATCTATGTATATGTATGCATGGTGTGTACACTGTGTATGTTTACATATGTAACGTGTACACATGTTTACAGTCATTGGTTTTTCTACTCACAGTTGCTATGTTGTATAGAATCACTGTAAAAACTGTGTTAGCCAATACCATGGCTCACATGAGAATTTAGAGTTAGATTTATTTCTTGGGTGTTTTTTGTTTTGTTTTGAGACAGGGTTCCAATATAGCCCTGGCTGTCCTGGAACTTGCTACATAGACCAGGCTGGCCCCAACCTCACAGAGAGCCACCTACCTCTAATTCCCAGGTATTGGGATTAAAGATGCATGCCACCACACTGAGCTTAGAAAGTTAGATTCTTGTGAGTTTCTGGTTACTGTATTTTCATCAACTGATTAAGATACAACATTGTTTTACATATATCTTACATAGATCCTAGAGGTATCTTATTCAGCATATTATTTGAATATATTTGCATAATACATTATTTAAATATGTTCTATCAAATATATTCCATTTGATATATTATATATTTAGATATTGTTGATTCATTAACATTGGACTCAGACAATAATGTTACACGTCATGACTGACTGACTGACACTTTAACACAAAAGTTTCTTCATAAGAGAGCAGTCTCCTCGGATGATTATTTAGTGCTACATTTTGAACAATAAGATCAACTAAAGCACAAAGATGTGGTACAGCCTGGACTGGAGATGACATCTGTGCACAGGACAGGGGCTTAATGCATTGCCTTGCTTGAGCTCAGCTAGGAACTCTAGGTCAGCTTGTTCTTCTGATCAGGTCTATGAATGACCCAGAATCCTTGTCTTTTGAGATAGGGTCTTGTGTATGTATCCATGACCTGAAACTTACTATGTAGCCAAAGAATACATTAAACTTCTTGTTTCCTTGTCTCTACCTCCCTAGTGCTGGGATTACAGATGTGCATCACCACATCTGGTATATGTGGTCCTAGAGATTGTGCCTGCTAGGCAAGCACTCGACCAATGGAACTACACCCTAAGTTTTCTGTGTTTTTAATCACAGACTATCTTTTACAATTAGTATCTGGTTAAGATTTTAAAAAGATGGGGGAGGAGGCGCTGGAGAGATGGCTCAGGGGTTAAGAGCACTGGCTGCTCTTCCAGAGGTCCTAAGTTCCATTCCCAGCAACTACAAGGTGACTCATGTGGTGCCCTCTTCTGGCCTGCAGGCAGAACACTGTATACATAATAAATAAATCTTAAAAAAAAAAAACAACCCAAAACTTTAAAAAGATGGAATACAGGGGATAAAGAGATGGTTTAATGGTTAAATATGATCTTGCAGAGGACCCGGGGGTTCAGTTCCTAGCAGCCACATTGGCTCCTCACAACTGCCTGTAACTCTAGGATTGGATGGTCTCTTCTGGCCTGTGAGGGCACCCCCAGGTACACATGTGCACACACGCACATGAAAATTAAAAGTCTTACAAATTTACAAATGCAGTAAAACAGATCTTGCCTGGGGGTTCAACCCCTTGTGTCACCCCACTCTTGGTTTTCTTTTGCAGGTGGATGGCAAGTCACACGGTGGTCACTATTTAGCACTTTACCCCCCCCCCCCTCCGCACCCATCTTGCATTCTGTATTATTACTCACCCTTTAGCTCCTTCTCGACCAGGGAACAAATTCTGCTCTTGTTCATCGTGTTCAAGATTTCAAGAACCACGCGCCAAGCTAGGACTCCAGGAAAAATTTCTATTAAGAGATGAACCATCTCTGCCCAGCTGGCTCTGTCCAGCTGCTCCCAGGTGATGCCGAGAGTGTCCGGCAGGAACTGCTCATTCACCAACATCTTCTTGAAGATTTGCAGCTCCGTCTTTTCTAAATAACTCATGTACACCATGACCCCATCATCACATGGGCAGGCAAGGGACTCAGGGTATGTCCGATCTCTGACTGAAGAAAGATTGCTAGATGTGGAAGGGACATCATCAAGGGGTCGGGGGTATCTTTGATCACCCTCACTCATCCTTAGGCAAGGCGAATGACACCTCTCTATTAGTGACAGATACAAACCGAACAGTTGAGAACATATAGGACCTGTGGAGACAGGGCATGATCAGCGGTAGCATCCTGACTACCCTAAAGTTCAACTACAAGAATTCTACTTTTTTAAAAAATATATTTATTATGTATACAGCATATATGACTGCAGGCCAGAAGAGGGCACCAGATCTCATCACAGGTGGTTGTAAGCCACCATGTGGTTGCTGGGAATTGAACTCAGGACCTCTGGAAGAGCAGCCAGTGCTCTGAACCTCTGAGCCATCTCTCCAGCCCCCACCAGAATTCTTTTAAAGCTTCACTTTGTTTCTCACGCTGCAGGTGGAACCCAAGGCCGTGTGCATGCTAGACAAGCCCTCTCTTGAGCTAGCTACACTCTAAATCTTGATCCTTTATTACTTTTTAAAAAATATTTATTTTTGTTTTATGTCTTCATCTGCATGTATGTGTACCAGGCATGTGAAATGCCCAAGGAGACCAGAGGAGAGCCCCTGGAACTGGAGTTACAGTCAGTTATGAGCCTCCATGTGGGTGCTGGGAACTGAACCCACATCCTTGCAAGGGCTCCAGGCACTCTTAACGACTGAGCCACCCTCTCCAGGTCCTCATCCTTTATTCTTAATTGTGCAATGAATACCATTAACTTTTCCCCCCCAGCAAACACTTTTATTCTTATTTACTGTTTGTCAATATATACTCATTGTATAAAATCAATATAAACTTCATTGCGACTTTTCAGATGCATGTCTCACATACATTGATCCTTTCAGGCCTTTTATTATCATGTCTCATCTCTGTTTTTCCCAAATAATCTCCCTTCTGCTTGCACATATGAAGGTTTTAAATTTTTTAACATTAATTTTTATTTAGCACACAAAATAATGAGTTTCATCATGACCTTTGCATATCTGTGTATCATTGTTCTTAGCTACTATCCAGCCAATCACCTCCTCTTGTCCCTGGGGTATGATTTTTTTAAACTTTATTTTATTTTTCTTCCTTCTTTTAACTATTTGCATGGGCTCTCTCTTTTTTTTTTTTTTAATTACCAACCCTGAGAACAGAAACATGGATCTGCATGTTTTAAAATCTGAGCTAAAAGTTACTTTGGAACTGGCTGGATGAGACATGTTTTTTTGCTTTTTTTCCCCTTCTTTTTTATTAATAAGAAATTTTCTATTCATTTTACATACCAACCACAGATCCCCTCTCTTCCCTCCTCCCTCCCCCACAGCCTTCCCCCCAACTCACCCCCCACCCCATTTCCCACCTCCTCCAAGGCAAGGCATTGTATGATATTTTGTTTGTGTGCTGACAAAGTTTGCCTGGAGGTCAGAGCAGCAGAGCTAAGCCACTTAGAGACTTCTTCCCTCTATGAAATCTCAGACCAAATGGGGTGGATCCTGTCTCTAGGAATCCTCAGACTGACTGGGGCTGAGATCCCGTCTCCATCTGCCTTATTCTCCCGTCTCCCTAGTGCTGGGATCAAAGGTGTGAGCCTCCATGGCCCAACACTGTTTCTTTTTTAGACTGGTTCAATCTTGTTAGCCCATGTGAGCCTTGAACTCCCGATCTTCCTGCTTTCTCCTCCCAAGTGCTAGGATTAAAGGTATGTGCCACCACTGCCTGGCCTCTATGGTTAACTAGTGGCTAGCTCCGCCCTCTGAGCTCCAGGCAAGCTTTGTTTGTCAGAACACAAACAAAATAGCGTATAACATGTCCTCCATCGGTTTTCCAACTGCTCAATTTTCTCCCCTCCAAGAATCTTTCTACTTTAACACCATATATGTATTTGTTTTTCCCATGAAGCTCTGGATGGCCTTGAATTCACAGCAATCCTCCTGTTCCAGTCTCCACAGTGCTGCGATTATCGGCACGTACCACCATTGTCTGGTTTCATATATGTCTTTAGTCCACACGGGAGAGGAAATGTGTGCTCTCTGTGGAGTGTTTATGTTTCCATTACCTTCTCCGGTTACATCCTCCTCTGCAACAGTCCCCTTCCTTCTCCTGTCATGGCGTCTGCAGCTATGTGTACCTCTGTCATCTGTCTATCTCCCCACCTGTTTGTCCATCGGCATCTCTACATCCATCACCTACCACCCATGATCTATCATCTGTGCACCTATCATCTATCTGTCACCTCTATCAACCCAACTGTTATTTATCTACCAATTTTCTATAATCTCTTGTCTGACATCTTTATCTAGTATTCATCTATCAACTATCTATTGAGTATATATATATCGTCTATTACCTACCTTCCATCAATCAATCATATTTATCTACATAGTGCCTACTTACCCGTCACTTATTTATTTACCATCAATCTATCATTTATTTATCTACTTATTACCTACCCATTAGCTATATATCTACCTACCTACTTCTCTATTTACTAATCCTGTATATCTGTCATCTCTATTTCTATCATTTATTATTTATCTACCATCTATCTAGAGCTATTTATCAACTACTACCTTTTTTATTATCTATGTATATCATCCATATCTAGCTGTCTTTCTATCCATTATATGAACGGCCTATCACATATAATCTATCTGTCTAGATTCTGTATATGATAGAAAATGTGGTTATTTGTGTTCCTGAGTCAGATTTCTTTCACATAGCATTTAGAACGTTTCTGACTTTCAGCTGAGTGGTTAGAAGCAGCAGCTGAAGCCTGGCTAATGCCTAAAGGCTGAGCCTCAGAGGGGAACTAATGCTTTCCTTAACTAAGGAGGAATAGGTGTAGGGAGGTGGTGTGAAAGCTAGCCTTTCTCAAGCCTCTGCTTCCTGCTCTTTGCCTCACTCCCGGCCTGATCTTTCTTCCTTCCTTCCTTCCTTCCTTCCTTCCTTCCTTCCTTCCTTCCTTCCTTCCTTCCTTCCTTCCTTCC